AGCCCCAATTAAACCCCAATTGGGCGAGGATGACATATGTTGAATCTATCTAATTTTTTTGGTCCCTCTTACACTGTATACTTCGTGCATTTGACTATGAAGCAAGAACAAAATTTTACTTATCAAGTTTTTATATATAAAAAATATAAAATAGTCATACTTAATCTTAACTTTATTATTAAAGATTCTGAAAACAATGGAATTTTCATTCTTTCTATTGATAATGAGCAGTCCGAATTTCTAAAAAATCACATTCGAGTCAATCAACATAACTAGAATGAATCCGATCTTTATCGAAAGAACTTTGAACAAGCAAATTTTGTCTTAATTAAAATTTTAAAAAATCCCGATAATAACAATATATCAATTCTATGCGACTTCTCAAATTAACAGAATAAAAGCTTAGAAATATTAGCCCCATGTTGGGAACTTTCTGATTTTTGCCAAGAAATTTACAGAACAAAAGATACAAAATTTCTCTTCTTACAAACTCTGGATGAGTTAAAGGATGCTCTTCGTAAATATAAGATTAATGAAAGAGCATCAAGCAATTCAACTCGAATATGTAATTTTATTTTTTCTGGAACAGCATGATCCTGGGTCTTGCTCTCAAATTTCTTGGCAGTTTTTGGCAAGAATACTTCGGCTGAAAATTCCAGATATGTAATAATTTATATTTTTCAAGATTTTGTTGATTTCTTCGGGGTTCTCTTTCATTGTATAATGTTTGAGGAAATCGATGATGATGACAAAAGCCTCGAACAATACATGAATGAAATAATACTATGGTTAATGGATATAAAATCAATGATAAAGGCCAACAAGGCAACCTTTCATTGATCTTACATGCATTAATATCAATTACATAAAGGTTGACAGGTAAAGAGAGTTACAATGGGATATTTCAGGAGAAGAAGCCTCTGGTCGAGTCGACTATGCGATAACAGGATCTTTTGTGTATTACTGAGAGGAAACCATGAAATGTTAGATAGGATACCTACAGAACATTAAATAACTCGAAAGCTTGTTCCATATGAATAAGAGGAAACGAACGGCCGATGAAGCATTCAAAGATGACGATTATGACTATTTATGTAGAATAGTTTCCACTGGTATGTATCCATATTTCTCCCCAATTATTTTTTCACGTACTAATTCTGGTCATTACATTAGACGTGGATGGCATTTCATCGTATTTGAGTCGGAAGGAATTCTGTACAAGTAATAGTGAATATCAAATAAACCTCTCGAAGACGGAAGTCGTGATACTTTGAAGGATGGTGTAAAAAATGTTATTAGCATAATCGTAGGGCTGTTAAAAGATAGAGTTTCCGCATATTATGAACTTGAAAGCAAGAGCGTCGCGTGCAAGAAAGAATTATTAAAAAAATTATTAAAAAATAATGGGCATATACAAGACACATTCTGTGTCTTCCCTGCCCCCGTGAATTTTTTATTGTATCAATAAGCCAATCAGGCCTAAATAGTCTTTTTCCGAATTTATTTTTTCTAACGTTTACCTATCTTCGATTGATATTTTACGGATGGTTAAAATATTTATTGTGTCGAAAAATTATCTATCTATATTCTTCGTTAATTAATTCCATATGAGAGAGTGATTGATTACCTACTACATCATGCATACTAACATCACTTTCGTTTTGTGATGAGGACATATTGCCGGAGACAGCTACTTCGTGATTAGAATTATTATTTTGTGCTTCGTAAGGTGGTGGTTGAAGAGATAATATTTATGGATTCTCCATATTAGGATTGTTTGTATTAACATTTATTGCGTCAATGGAGATACTAATCGTCTTCGACTTCTTTGAGTATCAACGGATGCTCTTCGGCTTCTTCGATTACCCGGTCTAATACAGTATATGCTCAACTTTCCCAGTAGATGGCGCAGGCGTACGTCGCCTACGGTTTGAACTATTTACTATTTATATTATAAATTCTATCGAAGTTATCCTCAGACCTCTCCCAAAATTGTGTAATTTTTTGAATTTATCTTACTGTAAGCCCTGGTGGCATATATCGCTATAATTTTGACAACTGAAATTTTGTCATGTGATTTTGATTTTTTTACGTGGGTAGCCCATCCCTTGAAATTGAATCCAATATGAATAAATAAAGTTAGTCTTTACTATGCATATCGTATCCCATATAGGTTCAA